TATCTACTGTTTGACATCGTTGTCAGATAATTTTAATTATTATGATAAATTAATAATTAATTTAATAAAAATACATTTATCTTCATACTTAAGACAAAAATTTATAGTTTAAAGATCAGTTCAAAGACCTTTCTTGCATATTTATGCATTTAATTTTTGATATTTTAATTATGTTTAGATCATACATAAATTATTTTAATTATGCACTTTTATTTCAAACAAAAATTTTTAATCGCTTGAAAGTATAATTACGATAATACTTTAGTTTAAAAAAGAAAAAAAAAACATAAAATATACTAAAAATAAAATAGAATAAGCCATAAATTATGAATGGAATCTCGTATATATTATATTCATAATTCAATTGTAGGGAATATGAGCGCACCTGTTCACTTGGCACACCTGTCACGATAAGTTGTAGTGCCTATCGTCGATTCTGCTTGCCTCTTAAACTAGAAACTCGACATATTATATACTCGATGGTTAGAAATTCCTAACAATATATATCTCACGAATGTCCATATTTGAATAAACCTCAGGCTAAACACCTGATGTTTTTCCCTTTGGCACCATCTGACATGAAGGTTGAAGAAAAGAACAGATTATCGTTTAGAGCAGGTGGAAAATTTAGTAAGAAATAGTTATTTTCTAAGCAAATGATGTGTTTTGTATTATCGATGCATAGATAAGGTTAATTTTTAAAAATGGTGATATCGTGTGGAAGTTGATGTGTGAGATAAAGATCGGGTTGACTAGATATGATAGATGGAGTAGAACGTTAGAAAAAAAAAGAAAATATATAAGTTTTTGTGTCTCTCTGCTAGCTGTTGTCAACACTTTCTGTATTAATTTAGGCATATTTTTGATAGTTATTCATGCCACGTGTAATACAACATAATAGTTATGAATATTAATTTAATTTCTGAAAATTACCGAGTTACTTTTCAATGGAAGATTGATAGAGATTTATTCAATAATTATCTATAGATTTATATTAAAAACCTATAGTTTAACCCACATTTACTACTTTAATCTATCTTTATATATTAAATAAAAAAAATATAAATTTTTAAAGCTAATTTTTTAATTAATGAGTGTTAAAACGTGAAAATATTTTTAACTTATGAATTTTTAATGATATGAAAAACAGTAAACGTCTTCTCTAATTAGTTAATTTGTTTCTTATAAATGAAAATTAAAGATTTAAAGGTTATTTAACGTATTAAATATGTTAATTTTATTCGTGAAAAACGTGAAAATAAATAATGAGAAATTCAATATTGTAACGATAAAATTGTGACAATTTCAATTTAAAACATAAAGGAAAATAAGTTTTAATGTGTGATTAACGTTATATAATTAAATTACAGGAAATAAAATTTTTGCACGTTCCTTTCTAGTCGACGATCTCAGATTTAGTAGAGAAAAGGTCATTAAACATTTCTCAACGATCCAATTTACTATGCAGGTTCCTTTTTATATCACCACACCTGGGCAAGGATCTTATACGCATGCGTGTTCATAGTGTAGAAAATAAAAGGCAAAAAAAAAATTCGAAAATTAATTACCTTGGCTACAAAAATTTAACGATGACATCTCTGAGTGTATAAAGATAAAAAAGTAACACGCAATCTTCGAGGATTAATCAGTAAAAACGAAAGAAGAATTTTACACGAAATTACGAATTTACTTTAAGTGAAAAATATCAAAAATTTTAGTAAAGAAAAAAAAAATAATAATAATTCATTAATATTTAAACGTAATTATTTAAATTCCACGATTTTTAGAACGATCGATCATATTTTTGAACAATAATTCAGCATTATAATGTTAATAATTCATATATTAAGACTATCTTTTATATGTATTGTATATATAGATGGGTTTATTAATCAGATTTTTTTTTTTTTTGTTTAAAATCCAATTTAAAGAAGAGTTATTAGTGATCCTAATTATAGTCGAAGGAAAGTAAAAATTAATTTCTATAATGCTCTAGGCATTTCCGTTTTCTTTCAACGTGTTTTATATATGAGAATAACGTAGATCATATATATGTATCTTTATCAAGAAAAAATATTCATAAGTAATGCTAAAATTTTAAATTATAATATAAAAAAAATTGTAGTGCTTTTTTTTAGAATAAATATTTTTTACTTGTAATTTTTTCTAAAAACATTTAGGTAGAAAGGAAGTCGATGTTTCATTTCCGCATTGTAAAAGAATTTAATGTCTTGTTCTATACTTTTTTTTAAATGCGACTTTTAATATTTTTGCTCGAATTAAATTAATTTTCGATTTTATCTTATTTTATTTGATTTTGAATTTTTTTTTTCTCACAATATCAATTGCAAAATATTTTAAAGTAAACTATTTTTAATATGTAAACAAAACAATTTGATTATTATAAAAACCTTGAAGGAAATTTAATATTATCCTTACGTCTCTTGCCTCTCTACTCCCTTCCAATTGATTACTTTACATCTTATTGTTTACAATTTCATAAATTTTAAATTTTATAAAGAAATACGTTTTAAATTTTGTTAAATTTCTTAAATAATTTAAATAAAATATTATAAAGTTTTTTTTAATATTGATATTTATTCTTATAAAAATTTTTTTTTGTAAGAAATTGCCAAAATTTTTACTGTAATTAGAGCTTCAAACTAGTTTTAAAATATTATTTCCAATAGTGATGACATTAATTTAATCATGATTCCGAGTTTCTGGTTTAATAAGCCTAAAAACCATTCTCGTCCCTTTTGATTTCTTATAAAATTTTGTCAAAAATCTATAAATTATATTAAACAATATTACATAAATCAATATAGTAATCTGATTTAATTCTATTATTTTATAACTTATCAGATATAAGATGAAATAATCCTTACACTGAAATCCCATTAAGATACAGTACCATTAAATAAGACGTCGAGTAGAAAGTGATAAGTTTAATTATCGAGCGGATGTACGTTGTATATGTAATCTATAGGACAATAATTAACGAAAGAAGATTAATGAAATATCTTAATTGATTCTAAGAAAAATTCCTTATTTCTTAGATTTAAAATAAAATCATTTTTCTGAAATACAGCTTAGAAAGTTTGCTAATTACTTAACTCTTCAAGCGTTAAATAGCAATATCTAATATTTAAAGACTTAATCATCATTCTATAAATATTAGCAATGTGATAATATGAAATATATAGAGTTAGTACGGTCGGAAACCGATAAAATTAAACTCGGAAACGTCAAAAATGCGAGAATACCCACTCCTCTCAGTCTTACGGAGAATATTAGAATGAATATAATGATTACAATGAATCTCTCTGAGAATATTAGAATGAAATAAATAAAAGTAGAATTTTTATCATTTTCTAAAAAGAACTAATATCATTTTCGTATTTTTTTACATAATTGACTAAATTTGAGATTTCTCTTTCTCTGAGCCTGATCCCCTTATTTCTGGGCCTATCTACAATGTTTGTAGATAAACGCAGAATAAGTTTTATTCTGTACCCATCTATATTGGACCATGTTTTTAAAATAGACGATAATATATAGTTTACGTTCTTGAATAGATCGAATATACATGTACTCGAATCCCTTAAATATATATATTCATCCCGTGAAAGTTATAAAACAGAACTTTCAGATAATATAAACTCCATATAAAGATAAATGGTAAGGAATAAATTACTCATTATAATTAATTTTCACACGAGTTTACTCGAGAAATATTTTATGTATGTTTACAAGTAATAAAAGACATTCTAATTGTTTCAATTACAATAAAACAAAAATCATTTTGATAAACAATAAAAATATTAATTTATATGAAAAGCTTTCCTATTGATAATTTTAATATTATAATAATAAATTGTAAACTAATTTTGATTTTATAGATAGTAAATAATATATCAATACATTATCAAGAATAATAAAAACCTAACTAAATACTAAATTTACATTAAATAAAAACATAATTTATATTAATAAAACTTCTTCAGTGTAGAGCCGGTAATAGAGTATATTTATTCAAAAAATTATTGTAATAATTACTTATAAAATTATTTTAAAATTTTCGATGCGATTTTATATATATTTCTTCTAAATATAATATTTTTCTAGTTTATTATATTTAATAATAATAAGAATGCTCTAATATATTATCAAATGAAATAACCGAATGGATTATAATATTAGTCCTGGGTCCCCACATTCCCTCAAGTTCTACTCTACTTAACAATTTTTTCTTCCTATAAATTAATAATGAATTTAATTATTACCATCATTAACGATCTTAGTCATAATGCTTAAGGTTTTATAATATGTTTCATATTTCTCTGTACTTTAAAAGATAGTCCAGTTGTTGTAATTCGGCTCCACATCATTTTCTATATAATATAAGATTTGGTCACTCTTTGTACGATTTTCTTTAAAGTAAGGAATTCGTCATACGAGGCAAATGGCACAAGATAAAGACCATTTATTATATAAAACATTCGGAGCAATAATCTCTATAATGCCCAGTATTGGTGTGTTATTTTTTCGTTTAGTATTCATTCTACAATTATTATTATAAGAAAACGATATTCTTCAATTAATATATAATATAAAAAACATTTCTATTGTTTAGTTTAACCTTAATTTGAAAGCGAACCATGACATTTCTTTCATATTTTAATTTTCATTATAACAAAGTATCCTTTATTTGAAGAGACCTTGATGAAATAATTCATTAACATTGATAAGATTGTTTTAGACATTCTTTTTTGTTTACTCTGTGCAAGTATTCATGAATACTTCAAAGAATGCAACAGTTACATGACTTCATTTAAAGAACTTTTTTCAAAAATTTATGATGCAGGAGTTATCTTTGCAAGAACTTTGCAATGAGTTCACAATGTGGCATGAAAATTGTTCATTAAAGACTTCTAAGTTTGTTTTCAGTTCTAGCTAATTGAAATAATTTATTAAGTTTATTGAATACAAAAGCCGAGTCATGTAATAACTGATTAATTATTCTTGCTAATAAGCAAATAATATTCAATGAATAACCTTCTTATATACCAAACACGTACCTGTTTGAATAAACAAATCAAGAGAAAAGGAAGTTTGTATTAGATTACGATGAGAATGCATCTTTTGGAAATTTCTTAATTATATTTATTCTATCTTTGACAAATTAAAAACACCTGAGTTCGGTTCCATCTGAAAACCAACTTACTCTTTCCTCCTGTTTTAATTTCTTTGATTAGATATATTTACTATGATAATATTTTGAGAGTTATATCAATTTACATTAAATGAAAAAATGATGCCTTAAATTTTATTATTTATTTTAAAGTGTTTCTAAATATTTTCCAAACTTTACTTCGAAATCTATTATAGTTTAATATATATATTTTTTAATTAAAATAAAACTTACTTTTGGTAATGGAAAAAGGCATTGTCCAGCACAATAATTAGCTTCAAATTTATCAGGTGAAATGATCCAGTTTGTCCATCCAAGTGCTGCAAAGTCTACTATAAGTTTTTTCTTCTGACACATCATTACATCTTTAATATCATCATCTGCAATAGTTGCATCATTTTGATGAATGTTATCTGATTTTTTCCATGGAAATGGTAACTTTCGATGCTTTCTTTTTCGTTCTTTTTTCTTTCCACGTGATTTTCGATTGTTCAAATGCTGAGGATGAGGCAATAACCTAGAACGATGAACAGAATCTTTACCATAACTTCCAGAAGACGAAACTAATTGCAAACCATGTATTTTATAAAGTGGATATTCAGGAAGTTCATTATCATGGATAGACCTCTTTCTTCGTTTGTTTTCATCAATTGTTTTTGTAAGCAGCTCATTTAAACGATCTTGTACAATATCAGAATTTGAGAAATTTGTAGATGTTTTCTCATAAGAAAACAAGAGCAAAAACGGTTGAGAATGGAAACTGACCAATCGCTTCATAGGAATGGATCGAAACTTTCTTCTATCGCTGCTTCCTTCTATAGAAATGCCAAGTAAATGTTGACTATCAGTATTTGGAGTCCTACAATTAAGAACTACTTTGGTAACTTCGTAAACACTCCATCCAACATCACTTTCTTTAATTTCTCTTTGTTCCACGGATGGCAAGGAAGTTTGGATTAGGTCCCATAATTTAAAACGATAAACATGTTCTCTCGATTTTCTTCTTCGAATAAAAGCATGTAATTCAGCTCTAATAATAACTTCGGAAGATGGTACACCTGTAAGATTATACACTAACATTTCCACATCTTCCAATTTACCTGAAAGCAAAACAATAAATTAAGTATAAAAATTCAGAAAACGCATGTTATAACTTCAAAAATTTATTACGAATTAAAGGAGAAAAAATTATATATTTTGACATTTATAAACCATTAAAATTCACTTCATCTCTCTCTAATTAAACAGTCTTAAACAAGTTAAACATTTTTTTTTTATTCATTAAGAGACTTTTTTTTATATATAAATTTAATTAGCAATTAGTTTATTAAAGCTTCAATTATCGAACGACAACAACAACAGTTAATTATCCAAAAATTACATTTTTTGTCATTTTTAAGGGAGATTCCGATTTAAAACCTACTTCCAAAGTGATCAAATAAGCTTAATTGCAGTAGCTTCATTAGAGTAAGAATGTCAACCAAATCACAAAAAAAGAAGTATAACTTATTTTCTACCTTTATCTTATTCATATAATTTAGTATCAGAGCTTTTGATAGTAACCTACTTATCTCAAAGATCGAAATTTTCTTATTTAAGTCCGTTCGTAATAAATAACAAATGACCCCCAAGGTGCAATCAACCTTGTCTTAAGAATGAGCATACTATGCTTTGGGCCAAACTGTATATATATATATTTATTTATTGAAGCACATGTTTAGTGTGTATTACTCTACAATGCAAAATGACTTTTTATATAGACGATATAAAAATTGATTCATTGACTACAACGATTTAGCAATGGAACAGGTGTTCCTTCTTGTTTCTTTATATTTTAAGTCCATGTTGTAAGATCAATTTTCTTTTTTTTTTCTAGCTCCTGTAACGTTAACTTTTCATAAAGAAATTTAAAAAAAAGGACTCAATTGAACAGATGTTTTACATCTAATTAAAGCTTCTTTTCGTGTTTAAAAATATAAAAAAAAAAACTTAAGCCACAAACATGTTTGTTACAATGAAGAATATTAATATTGTATCGATGACTAAACAGTATTAAAGACTATGGCAGCTGGATTTAATTAAATTTAACATATAAAGCTATATAAATTTAACATATAATTAAATTAATTAAAATTACTCATTAACGATAATATAACATAAACTGAGACGGTAAATTATTTCATGTAATAACTGATTAATTATCTCATCAAAATATAAAAGAGTCACTGATGATGTCATATCAGGAACACAGCACGGCGGGGGAACATTTGGATCCAAGCTCAATGAGTGAACCAAACTCTGGATGGTTGCATGATTTGATGGGAAAAGATTCTGTTTTTAATAAAATAATTAATTAATTAATATTGTTATCATAATTAAAACATTATATCATCTTATAATATAATATAGAATTTTGAAAATAAAAACATCTTCGATTTAACTGTAATATATAATTTCCTACTAAATACTCTTTTTTAACTTTTATAGTTCGCGTTCTACATGTTGGGAAGTTACAGTTAAAAAGACATTACGTTAGGTCATTTGCTGAGATTTTAACTTATGCTAATCTATAAAACAATTGAATAAAATGCAACATGCATTATTCATCTTAAATCAATAATTTACATATGATTTATCACATATTAACCGATGATTAGCATACACAATTAGTCACATGTATTAATCAATACCTTTCATGTATGATTAGTTATATTGGCTTACATTAATCAATTACACAAATGCAAAATATCTGTAAACCAATCGATAATTTTTACACATGGTTAGTTATAATGTATACGTAACATTAAACAATTAAGGTATTTCTTATTTATAAATATTAACCAATTACTATGCATGTTTTATTAATTATATGACCTATATATTAATGAAAAACACGCATCGATTACGCTATAAAAAATTACTCGTAATTAATTTCAATTTAAAAAAAATATATGCAATTTATTCTATTTTTACTTTATTAACATCGATTTTTATTTATAAAATCATTTATTATTTTTAAATTAAATTTTAAAAAAATTAATAGTTACTTATTTTATTATCGTTTGACCCTAGCTTGAGACATATTTTATCGATCATTGCCTTGGGTCCAATATGCGAGAATAAATTGTAAAAGTGATAAACGATGATGTCACCCCATCATCAAGCAAATTTGCTACTTAGCAAGTTTTTCAATTGATTTAGTAAAGTAAATACTCATCAGTAAGATTGCAGATATTACAATTGAATTTAACACACCTTAAATTAAAGTTAAATCAGATTTAATTGTATATAAATATTAAATTAAAGATACATAAAATTTATTTATATGCAAATACCTTAAATTTAAAGTAAATCACTTTAAATTTGTATATAAATGTCATAAGTTAAATGTGTTGTGTTCAGTTTTATTTGAACTTCTTAAAGTATAAGTTAAAGGATGTATCAGGTTCATTAAAATATGACTAATTAAATTAAAAGGTATGCCAAGTTCAACAATGAATATAAGTATCTTATATTAAGCCGATTCAATTGTATTTAAATACGTTAAATTAAAAGTGAATCATATTTAATTGTAAAATCATAAAATAAAGTTAATTTAGATTCAGTTCATAGAAATGCTTGAAATTAAAAGCATATCAGATTCAATTCTATGTAAATATCTTAAAGGTAAATCATGTTTAATTGTATATAGTACTAAGCATTAAATTAAAGGCATGCCAGATTCAATTGAAGGTAAATACCTTAAACTAAACATCAATCAGATTAAATTATATCTAAATGCTTTAATATTAAGCTATATAGATTCGATTACATAATTAATAATTGAAATGTTAATAACTTTATTTACTTTAAAACATTTTAAATTTATTTTAAAAGTTTTAATTCTCTTTAATGTCTTAAAATATTTTCATATAATATATTTATTAATTAAATAATATGTAAAATCAATATAGTAAACTCTTAATAATGTTTAAATATAGATCGAAGTGATATTATTATATAAATTTTTATTTGTTAAAATATTTGTTTATATAATTGATAAACAATTTTCTCCACGTTAAAGTAAAGTAAACATTAAATAAAGTTTGTATTATTAAAAAAAATATTATTTTAAATTAAAAATTTTTATTACAATATGTGTATTTAATTAAATTAATTTTAAAAGAAAATTGTATTTTTTTAAAAATAATTTTAATATGCAATTAATAAGAGAATAGAGTTACATTATGCGTCATTGTTTATTCACAACCTCAAATATTAAATTAAATATTTAATAAGACATTAGAATTTATCTTAATTTAGCCAAGATAAACATTATTATTAAATTATAATGATTTATAATAGAGTAATCATTTTAGTTTTTGATTGCTAAGAAATTTATAAGCTATAACTTTTAATATAGTCTTATAATGGAAAAGTTAAAATGATTACACATAAATTTGAACCTAATTTAGTTATAAATATTACAAACAGATGGCGCGATATATCATAAAGGTATAAAAATGCCTCTGGATACCTCATAAAGAAAATAATTTTTTCTCCCNACTGTGTAAAAAAAAAAGGATGTAAAGTACAGAATTTCTCTATTGTTACGTACAGAAGTACACTCGTGTTAAGAGTGATCTGGGTGGTCAATTCTAGAAATGTTAAATGTTTATGTTGGAGTTCTGGGTGTTTTGATTATCTTGAAGTGTTTCGGTGTAACTATACTGGTAGCCTTGTGACGTGCCTTTGATTGATATGTTGCATCAACAAAAGATTATCTTTAAATAACTATTATAATTGTTTTGATGTGTTATTTTGAAGTTTTTAAGCTGTAAATCGTGTTTATGTCGTTCTTAGAATGCGTAAATGTATACGTATTCCTTTTTAAAACAATTTTCTGCTTTTCTCACTCAAGTTTTGACGAGAAAATTCAATGCTTTCGCTTTAAATTTATTTAATTTTTCAAGTAAATTAAAAAGATTTGCTTCTTCTTCATCATGTTTGATATTTTTTTTAAAAAAAAATTCTGTTTTATTAAGTTTTTATTTCGTTATATTAATGTTTTTATACTTGTTTATCAAGTTTCACTTTCTATAAAATTTCAATAATTTTTTTTGCGAAATACTTTCGTGCTTGTTTACCGAGATTAATTTTTATTTAAACATTCTATACTGTTTACTTATCGCTTAATTTTTTTACAAAAAAAAATCAATTCATGCTCTTGAAGTTCATTTTTTTTTTAATTTAGTGAGCAAGCAGGGAAATTTAATTTTTTTTTCTAAAATTTTCCCCAGCTTGTTTATCATACTTAATTTTTAACAAAAAATTTTAAAGCTTGCTCTTCAAGTTCACTTTGTTTTTTTTCCAAAAATTTTCCTGCTTGTTCACTGAGTTTAATATTTTACAAAAACGTTTCTGCACGTTTGCTATTTTATTTTGAAAACGTTTCTCTTCCTGTTTACTACGTTTTATTCTGTTTTATTTCATTTCTTTGTAAAACTTTCTTTGCTTTTTCCTTTGTACAAAGCTGCTTGTTCATTACACTTAAAAAATTTAAATTATTTAAAAACGTTTAAATAATTCTCTACATATTCCTCACCTTTTACTTTTTACATAAATATCTGACATTTTTTTAAATTTTTACATTTATATATGAAAAATTCTGATTTTAATAAGTTTACATTCATAAATTGTTCACCGGATTTAATTTATTACTAAAAATTCCTTTACTGTATATTTTTCTTTTATAAAAATGGCGCATGATAATGTAAATTCTATACACATCCACTGATTGGATTAATCAATAGTTTGCACAATAATCACATATTGCGACATCAGAAAAAAATGAGATAAAAATCATCATAATGAAAAAAACACTAAACATGAACTGGAATCATCAATAGAATTATGCTGATAATGGATTACATTATACTTTAAAGCATAAATTTGAAGTAAAAAATGTATTAAAAATAATTAAACTAGATTTAACGACATTTAACGATTTAATTATAATTATAAAATGTATAGAAAAAATTAATTAATTGAAGAATTTTTAAAGTATAACATTTAATTGCTGAGAAACAACTTAATTGCCATTATTCTACAGTGAGAAATTTTATCATTAAGTTACAAAAGATTGTATTTTCATTGCTGAATAATTAATTATGTATCAATGTAAGTAACAAAATCAAAAATTAAGCTACCTCTTACACATATTGAATGATTAAATTAGCATATTGAACGATTTAATCGCATTTTAATCATTCATTCAATTCGTGAATTAACAATTTAATAAATCGAATATATTTAATTATTTATTGAATTAATTATGCAGAATGTTTATTCGTTAAATATAAATTTTGAATTCTTATTTGTTTCTAATTGATGATCTGTAACAAAACTTTGCGTAGGTAGGAACCACGAACCTGTTCAACAAATGTTATCAAGTGGGTGATTGATGTTTCTTGTCGAATAAGAAAAATTAAGGATTACGTACATAATCAATCAGTGTATAATTTTAAAATAGAATTAATTAATATTACATTTTTGTATGTTCCATTTAAAATCGAACAGAATTAAAGCGATTTTAGTAAATTTCCTTTTGTATTTTTGAACTTTTATCACGTACAATCTAAACTTTAGTTTATAATTTATAATTTGTTTTATAAACCAATTTAATTTTCAATGTATAATTTACAAAATTTTGCATATTTTATACAATTTTATATCACATTTTACCGAATTTTTAAATAATTTATGTTCTTATAAAGCCCGTTTGTATACAACAAAAGCATTGACCTTTTACTAAGTCATCCGGAAAGAATGTTGAATTTTATTTGTAAAAAATGGTAATCTGAAACAACAAAGATAAGATAGAGAAGCAACGAATAAACATTTTACTCATAATAAACTAATTGAATGTAACCTTAATTTAGGTTACACTCAATTAGTTATTTGTTATTAGTAAACTAATTAAAGATTTTAATTACGTTCATATAAGTCCTTACTTAATTCAATGATAAATTATACTTAAAAGAAGAACTTCAAGTTTTTTACATAATATAATAATTTATTATTATAAATATATTACGTAATTTATTGTACATCTTAGTTTATTATGTTTACAAAATCAGAGATTTTCCTCTTCTTTTTTATAGAATAAACATGCCCTATACACTCACCACGAGACTTGTAATTAAAACATAAACAGCAATTACAAGGAGAACCGTTCTAAGCAAAACAAGTGGACAAAAGAGTCTGTGTGTATGTCTATATGTTACTCTTCGACTAAACTGTTTTCTATTGTTTCTTATATATTTTATGAATTTTCTGAAGTTTCTAAATGGTTTATATTACACGTCTGGACTAAATATAATGATAATACACATCTGTTCTTTATAAATAGTATGGTGTCAGATGATTATATTTTATTTATTTTATGTTTGTTTAATTATTTTACAAGTGTCAATACTTACTATTTTAAAACTTGATTATATTATTTGTTTAACTTAATTTCTTTCTTTAAATTCAGAAAATAAATTTTAAAAAATCTGATTTTCTAGTATTAAAAGTCAATAATTGTATTTACAAATCTTATTTTGTGCATTTTAAGCACAAAATAAGCAAAATGAGAATTTAAACTTGATTTTCTGTTATTAAAAATGACAATTCAAACTCTATTTTGTATGTTTATGAAGAAAAATTTGTATAAAAAAACTTTATTTTGACTATAAAAATATGAAAAATAAATTTAAAAATCTTATTCACAATTTTAAAAATGGAAAAATAAATTTACAAACCTTACTCACCACCTTAAAACAAAGAAAAATCAATTCTGTAGACATTATTCCTTCTATTAAAAATTTAAAAAAAATAGTTAATTATCTTACTTGTTGGTTTAAAACTAGAAAAAGTTTAAAACCTTATTCACAACATAATATAAGAAAACAAAAACTTTCTTCTTTACTTTGTATTAAATCATATTGATGTCTATTATTGATTTTATTATTATATATTTATTGTTATATTGAAAGGATGAAGGATCATTTTGACATTCCTGATAAATTAAGTGTATACTTAGCTGTCACGGAATCTTATTGCAGCTAATAATCCCAGTATTGAACTATCTAACCTCATGGCACAATTGCTCGATAGCCAATATCGTGCCTTATAAAATTCCTTTCCCGTCATTATAAAGACAATTTAAAATAAATTCTGTCACGCCAACTCTACTATTAGAAGTAAATAAGTTAAAAATTTTGAAACAATTGCAATTATTGTGCGATTCCAATTCATTTATGAGGTATTATCGATAGATAATAAATAAATAAATATGTCATTGCTTCAACGTATTCGTTATGCATTGTCTACTTATTGTTTTCATTGCACAATATTAAATTTGACATAAGATGAACAATCAATTCGAACCTATTATTATATACAAGTTTCTCTACTTTATCATTAGCCTAATTGAAATTACTTTAAAAACAATTGGGATTTTATGATAAAATATTCTATTTATAACATATTAAATTAAATAATCCTATTAGTTTTATTAAAATTATGTCAAATTACAATTTAAAAGTTATTTAATTAGAAAACTTTAAGTTACTTTATACTAAATAAACACAGAATCTACACTAATTTGAATAATTCATTAAGGGAATTCGGGCATAAACTAAGTGACACGCCATATTCTTTCGTTAAAGATAAGTACAATTAACTATAATTCTAATTTAATTATAAAGGAAAAAAGTATAAAATAAAGTTTAAATATAAAGAATTTAAATATTTCAACACAATTGAACTTATTTAAAACATTTACAACTTACCTTTCATGGGTAAAATACTTCGAACTATAGAACTATTTTCATGAATGGAATCAATTCTACCACTCTTATACTTCTCATACAACTGAACCATATAACGAGGAGTCGAAGAAACTTTCGATTTTTGGTAGATTAATTTAGATGCGTGTGACTGTCCCGCGACTGTAACAACAGCTATAGCAGTTATAAACAGAAAGTAGTCGTATAAGTTCATTCTCGTACTTCTGTTGATGAAAAATTATGCATTAATAATACATTTTCCAATCGATTTCTTTATATAATTTTTAAGATTATTTACAGTTTGTGTAGTGGACTAAGTGCTGTGAAGGATCAAACTGACTTGTACAGTAGGTAGGCTAGTTGTGCGCCGAAGCGAATGAGACAGGATGACTGCACCGTATGTCGAACTGGCTATTAAGTGATGGCCACGTGGTCTTGCTTCCAATAAAACAAACGTAAAGATGATAGAAAAGAAGCTGAGAGCGGGGATAAGGGGGAAAAAAATGGGTTTAGAGTGCGATGCCTGCACTTGACATGCTATTTCGTGAATTGCAGCTCGTATGATTGACGATCGTAAAATTTGATATAAATCTGACATATTGTAAAAAGCTACGAATTTATTTATTTTTTGATTAAGAGTCATCCTATACACAACTAGTTTTAATTNTATATTATTTATTTTAATATTTAAATCAATAAAAATTTGCTTTATTACCCCTGAAATTAAAGAAAAATTTACCTAATAGATCCATTTCACTATCGAAATTTTTAATATTAAATTGAAAAAAAAGCTGTTAACTAACGCATTCTTCGACTATAGAAATTAAATTAGAACAATGACAGCATGTATTTAATATGAACATCAAACCCCTTAATAATGATTTCCTCGGGATATTCGCCTCAGATGACGACTCTTTGCCAGTGGACCCGCCTCGGCAATAACAGAGTTAATTACAAAGAATCAGTAACAAATCTTTTGACCATTTAACCGAACAATTTATTGAAATCCCAACTCAACAAATCTTTGTAATTAATCACCGTTTGCCCTATATTACAAGAGAATTTTTGCTATTATTTTCATATTCAGCATTAATGTAAAATATAACATTTATTTTATATTTATATTTAAAATAATTTGTTTGAAAATTTTGTTTTTATTAAGTTAATTTATCATTAGAACATTAGACAAATAAAATGATTTGGACGATAAATAAACACAATAAAAGTAAATTTCTGAAGTAACAATTTATTTAAATTTAAAGCTGTTAAATATATATTCTAATTATGTAAAAGTTTATAAATTGCTGTATAATTATAATATATAATGTATAAAAGCATATAACTTAATGAAAAAAGTACAAACATTCTAATATAAAAAGGTCATAATGCAATCATAAATATTTAAAATGCACTTATTAGTATGCTATAAGTATATTAAAATGGTTTAATTAATTACTGTTGATATTAAATTCAGTTTAATTTATATTGTTTAAAGCATTAAAACTTTGATAATTTATATAGAATTTTTTGTCAGATAGATCAAATCAAAAACATTAATATAAGTTTGACAGAAGAATAGAGTATGAAATAAATGAATTAGATCATTGTTATAACCTTCACGATAAATCAATTCGAAGATAAAACATACCAAACAGCTTTAGAAGCAATTCATTAAATTTCTAACAAGAAATAAACGTGAGAAAGGAAGATATATGTGTATGTCGCTGCTAAAAAGATTTAAAAATGTAGGACTTCTCTCGTATAAACTATAGAAATTCTTAACTTAAAATATGAAAAGATAACATAAAATTTGTAGGTGCCTCATTTCGTAGAAAACATAGACATTGTAGTTAGTTATTTTGAAGTTTTGTCTTTAAGCTGAAACAATAGGAATGAAAATTTAATCGCCTGAAGCCAAACATAGACATGCCTACCTCATTACCTCATTGCAAAGAACTTAGCAAAGATACATCTGCCAATAGATTAGTGTATATATACAAAGAAGCGAATTGTCTTTAGAAAAATTTTGTGTTTAGTTAAGTGGTGACCGCATCCAGTTTTCCACTTGGACATTGACCGAATCATTATCCACTTGTTAAAATTCTATTGTTTTGCCACGTTTAAAAAAAACACAGTGACTTTGGCATTCTTAATACTTCATAACAAGTTATGTCATTTATGTCAAGTGTATTTAAGTAGGATCACTTTAAATTATCACTCGATTCGCTTTGCAATTTGATAAATTTAAAAGACACTTCGTATAAATTCAATTAATAAAAATGTAATTTACATTAAGTATATCTTGAAGTTGCTGTAATTTTTTTATTCTTCATGTTTAGAAATTTAAAATTTTATATTTTAAACTTAATTTTCTTACTTTTAACAATAAATTTATGCAAGATTTGTGTAGGAATGAAGGAGAACAATTTAAAAATTTGTATATCATCAAATTAAATTCATGATAAATATAAAAAAGTAAAAGTACTGTACATTAAAAGTAGGAATATTAGTAAAATAAATGTTGTAAATGTGTATAAAATTAAATCAAAATAGGGTTATTAATATGTAATAATTTTCTGTAAAGTTAAGGAAAAAATAAATCTAAGCTGACTCATTTTATAATTGCGTGACTTCAGCTGAGGACAAAATGTAAAGAAGTTTAAGATTTTCATCCCCTTTCCCTTTTTTTTTAAAAGATTTAACTCGACAATAAAGACAATCCTTAAGTAACAAGCTGTCTTAAAGTTTCAATGCATGTAATTAATAAGCAATCACAGCTGTTGTAATCCAACATATGTAATTATTTTTTACTCACGAATCATACATAAGTTCGATCCGTCTAACAATAATGACAAAGCTAATTTAAGAATTAATGTAAAAATAATTACTTATGAATAACCGACGTTGAATAAAAAACAACTGATTACATTGATATAAATTTATGATAAAAAAAAGAAAGAGGAGGTGGAGGAAGAGAAGCAGAAGAATAGTAAATGCTTTGGAAGAATAGAAATTGATGAGAAGTTTAATAGACCAAGATAAAAACATACTTAAAAAAGTATCATATTCTGAATTCTAATGCTGAAAGTATCTTTAAAATAAGCAGGAAGTTCAATTTTGTACAACAAGAAAGCATCAGTAATCTTTCAAAAGGCATCTTGTTTTTCTTTTTAGAACTTAAGAGATAACCTTACAGTGAAGCAGAGACCTTGATATATTATAAAAACAAACTACTAAATTTGATTTGCAACAATATCATGTCTGATTGTTTATATAAAGAAGATCGTATTTCAGAGATAAATGTTGTCTAAGACGAAAAATTTCTTGAAAAAAAAATTCCAAAAAACTTCACTAAAAATTTAACAAATAAGAAAAATTAAACATAAAACCGTTACATATTTATGTATAAATTTAAGTACTTTAAATGACTGCATGTTAATTTATTGCACATTTATAGCAATCTACATCGTAAATACCTACGAATAGATTAATTTTTCTTTTTCTAAACAGAATAATTATACCTAGAAAAGTATTTTTTAATAGAACGTTGTAAAATAATTAACATTTTAGATAAGGTTAGGAGAGTTTTTTTAATATAAATTTTTCAATGAAAAACAATTAAAAGTGTTTAATATATGTGAAATTCTTAAACAGCTTTAAAACTTTTAGAGTCTTAAACTCGTTACTATGATAATAATATACTTAAGATCACATCAAAACAAATAAAGTGTTATCAGTAAGCAGATGCGAGTAACGATATTCTTTTTTTATATATTCATTTTTATCAGTTTATTAGTTGGATAGGTGTTTCTATTATTACAACTTCATTTTTTTCTTCTCCATAATTTGGCATCAATTCTTAAGAAATGCTGCCTCCAGTCATAAGAATCCAGCTTGTAAACGAGTCGTGACTGTCTTAATCATTTGATGCGATTCCAAACATCTTTTCATAAATTCCATTGTGTGACACGTAGAAGAAATAATTACAAAAATCAAACTTACTAATGATCCGATCATGATCAGACTTATGAAAATATAATTATCTGCAAAACATTAATTTCTTTTTTTTTCTTAGGAGGGGTTGTTTTTGCTGTTACGTCTTCCATAACATAAACAAGACTTTATAATAATTTGGATACATCACGTCGTTCGTTCGGGTTAATTTAGATGAAGACATTCTTTTCTTTTAATTGTTATACAGTGAATTTTAACGAAGGTTTCAATTAGAAAAAAATTTTATTTAAATTATTTTAATACTTTCAAACTTCGTTCAGGAATCTACAACGTTTTAAAGTAAGGAATTTTCAGATCATTTTTATATTTTTCTTTTAAAAATATGTTTAGGTTGTTTGTTACGTTTTATTAATTAAACTTTCCTTTTAAATTTTGAATAACGATTAAAGTTTCAAAACATTTTTATTTATGAAATTAAATTGTGGAAGTATTTAAAAAGATGAAAAATAAATAACAGGGACCAAAATTCAGTTAACCGTGTTTTACTTCGTGTTTTAGGTATACCTGTAAATATGAATTGTAAACTGATTTTAAAACAGTGTGTTTTTTTTCCTGCAAAATCGGGATAAACGTGGTAAATAATATAATTAATTAATTATAATTTAATCTTTGTATTAGTTAACTGACTTTTGAGCCACCCAGTATTTTAAATCAGAGCGTAAAAAATAATATTTCAACAACTATTTCAATATTATAAAACATAAATTTTACTTTTTTTTCAACAGCTTTGCTGGAAAAAATAATAAAATAAAAAAATCAATAAAAGAATTATCTTGAAATATATATAAAAAATTTAAATTTTTAAATGAAATGAATAACAAATAATTATTTTCTACAATAAAATTTAGAAATTTTTGAAAATTTTGAGTACAATTACGATGATAAAATATACATTATTTAAGCATTATCTCGAATGAATTTATGGCAACTTACTCAAATATCCTGTTTTTCTTTTAAAAGTCTATTTTATCTTAAAAAAAATTAAATTCCATACAAATAAATAATAAAAAAGTATATCTTATCTTACAGAAAACGGCATTAAAAATGGCATTTAATTGAAAAATTCTGACAAAAGAATTCAATAAAAGCATGAAGGTATTGCAACAACTCGAGGTGAATACATTTTTAAACATTAAAATAAAGTCTAATAATGCAATATAAACTATAGAATTTGACAATGAAAAATGGAAGAATAGATTATCTTTACGATCACATCCGGATTAATATCTATTCTATCGCTTTTTTGGATAGCTACCAGCAACAAAACGAGATATTTTATCTGCTTGAATTGTTCGCAGCAAAACCAGTTGTATCACAGAAAAGATATTTGACACCGTTCTTTCCTCCATATACTGTATTCTTCGGGTACTTCAGTCAAAAC